TCCTATTTTTGATTAACAATATACGTACGATTAAATTAAATTATATTAGTCGATTAGTATTCGAACTTATAGTACCATCGGATTATATTAAAGAAAAAAAAAAAAAAGAAAAAAGAACAATATCAAATACGATGCTGTATGTTTGTTCACAAAAGTATTTCTTTTTTTGGTGCATAATGCGCGCGCGTGAACAAACATCCTATTAATGTAATAATATTATAAATTTAACAATAAGTTGAACGGTGAGAAAAAAGAAAAAGAACAAAAAGAAAAAAATTACATAACCGGCCACCCCTGCACCCTTTCATTAAATTATTTATGAATCATTTTTATTATATAATTATTATTCTGTTTCTTCGAGATAGAAACGGAATACATTTTCTTATTCTCTTCCTATGCGTCGTGCTACTTTCTATTTATTTAATGTCTTATTTTCTTTTTTTTTTTGTTTGTAAAGTCTTCGTCGTTTTAAAAGTATTTTTTGTTTGTTTGCTTTCACGTCGTCGCTTACATGTTTACTCTCTCTCACTCTCTCTCTCTCTCTCTCTCTCTTTCTTACACACATACACGCGTGCATACATATTTTATTAAAAATAACATATACGTATATACAAATAAATTTTATTATTAACATTACTCATCCACTTGAATCGCTTCTTGTTTTCTATTTTTTTATTATTTCTTTTTTTTATTATCATTTAAATAAATGCTCCACTTATTCACATACATACACGTACACATACACGCACACACGTGATGTACCTGTGGTTAGTAATTTTTAACCGAATGTACAACGTTATGTTACAAATATACATATACACTCATATGTATGTATACAGATGATCGTATCGTGTGTAAAGTGAACAAAACCAATATCGCTTTCCTGTTACATAAAATTAATATTCACGATTTTTCTCGAAATTTATTATGGTACTACTTTAAGAGATATAAAGGAAAAAAAAAAATAAATCAAATAAAATGATAGAAAAATGAAACGCGTAATGGTGGCGACGTCATATCGGTCTTTACAGTACTTATTTATAAGTACTTAATTACACATATACAATAATTACATTCACACATACACAAAAAAACATCAGAAACACGATAAACATAAAAAAAACGAAATTTTATTTTTTTATTTTTATGCATTCCGGAATTTGTTTGCTCTAAAACGTATTTAGTGGAATCAAATGAATATTTTTTATATTTATTAAACGCTTTTTCAACTCCCTCCCACCACTCAATCATCCACACGATCATATAACGAACGTGTAAAAAATAGGAGACTCAAGACTCGAAGATTTTACATTTTGACGTATACACGTGTAATAACGCATGTATTTCATGATATATAATAGCAAATAATAAAATTCTGTAACAAGAAACTTCCATTATATGTATGCATATATCGTGAGTATTGTTTTTATTTAAACAATAAAAAAAGAAATAGAACAAGAGGATTTCGAATGAAATTAACGCGCGATGATTATTCAAATTGTGCGCGAAAATGGAACAGCAAACTTCACGTGTGTTTATTTGACGCATATTATAATTATTAAATGCTATTAATAACGACACGAATATAAATTATAGGTAATATTTTTTTATTGACAAAAAAGAAAAGAAAATGAAATATGGATTCTAATAATTAGATTACATCTTTCTTTTTAAATATACATGATATTAGATGTAACCTTAAAACACGTGACATGAAAAGAACATAAAAAATTACTCACCAATAAACGAATATACAATTTCCAACGATGTTATGAAGATTCAAACGATATTTTAAAAATATGTTAAGGAGTCCATGAGTAAAAAAATCACACGCATTTAAATATAATTATAAATTTTAATACCTGTCAACGCGTATTTCAAGTACTACTCTTTACAAATGCAGAACACTTGCAAGCAGTGTTACCAACTTACGGTAAGTCATCGTAATGCAGACGATATGATTGGTCTATCCTATGATAACGTAATTGGAAAATAAAACTCAAAAGATGTCACTTGTTTTGTATATATATATACATTTTTCTTTTTCTTTTTATTAATTCAATTTTTTGTTGTATTAAATTATTTCTTAAACATATATAAATTTTATCTAACGTTTTTTATCTCTGCTTCTATCACCATATCTATTACTTCTCTCTTTACTTCTTTCTCTCTTTCTCTCTCTACTCCTATCCCTATTTCTTTCTCTACTTTTATCTCTACTCCTGTTACTATCAATTTTATCCTTTTTCTTTTTCTTATCCTTATCCTTATGCCTTCTATGATCATTCGAATCGTACTCTCTTTTTCTATTCTCTCTATCTTTATCCTTTTCTGAAACATAATTTCTATTATTGCGAGAACGTTCTCGATCACTTCTGTCTTCATTTTCTCTATATTGACGTTTTCTATGTTCCAATAAATCTTCGTTGTGCCTTCCTTCATTGTTTATTTTTTTCTTAAATCTATCCTCTTTTTCTTGAAAACGTTTGTTATTTCGATGATCGCTCCTATCTTGAAAACGATCCTTTCCTCTTCTATTCTCGTTCTCTTCTTCTTCATCTTCTTCTTTATCGTTATATTTAATACCTTTCCCTTTACCTCTCCATCTCATTTTTGCTACAGATTGTGAGAAATCTACATGTATTCTTCTATCATCGATTAAAACATTGTCCATCTTGAAATATGCTTCTTCACAACTCTTGCGTTCAGCAAATTCGATAAATGCATATTGCAAAGAATCACCTGTTTGACGATCTCTTATTACTTCACATCTGAAAAGATTTGTATATGTATATTAAATATTATTTTAATATCGCAAATAAATTAATGGATAAAAAATGTGATAGAAAAGTTGCAATGCTTACCCAACAATTTTGCCAAAACGACTAAAAATAATCTCAAGATCATCATCGTTAGTGACTGGATTTAATTTACAAACAAATAGAACATTTTCCGGTGGTGCTATGTCGGCGTCTGGTATATCGCCAACAATTTCTAGAATTGTAGCTCGTGCTTTTGCTTCTTTGTCCCTTTGCATTTCCATAACTTCTTCTACAGACATTCCTGCTGTGTCATCTATGAGTTCATCTGCGCCAATTCTATCGCTCTGTAAAAACATTGAGTCTCACATTAGATTACAGAATTTATATAATTTATATAAAGAACAATATAATTTGTTAGATATACATACCATCAATGCCTCTTTAGTAGGTTCCGGACTCATATCTGGTATTACTAAACCTTTGGGATCTTCAAACGGATCCTCTAAAATAACAGTATGTGATATACGTATGTCTTGGTAAGGTCTGTAATCTCCATCACAAATAGTTTCATTTAATTTGAGAATGATTTCAAGTCCTTCTACTATTTCACCAAACACACAGTGTTCTCCATCTAGAGAATAGAGATCCGGAGCTAGAGTGATAAAAAACTGTGATCCTAACATATTGTCTCCGCAATTAACCATAGATAATAAACCACTTCTGGTATGTTTTATTTTTGGCATTTGTTCAGCCTCGTAATATCGTGCTTTTTCACCCAATACTATCCCATAAATACTCTCTCCACCTTTCCCTGTACCCGTAGGATCTCCAGTTTGAGCTATGAAATTGTTTTGTACCGAGTGAAATAAATTCCAATTGTAATACTTGATTTTGCACAATTTTAAAAAATTTCGACATGCTGAAAATAAATAATATACATGTTACACATTTAATAATTAATAAAAAAATTCTTATAAAAGTTAAACCTAACCTATACGAGAAAAATAAAATTGCATTAACTTACTTTGTGGACGTTCATCGGCGAATAAATCTACTGTAATGTCACCTATTGTAGTTTCAATTACAACAGACATGATTTATATAAAATTTATAATCCCAATGAGAAAAACTATTAAAAAATAAACATTCAAGAAAGAATCACTTCATTTTAACAATATATCGTTGTTCTGCCAGGTGAATACAAATGCAACATACATTGACAGGGTTACCAACTTTATCTATGAAAAATGAAATATGAAAAGTTTAAATTGATTCGTATTTTGTATCTATCCGTTTAATTCACTGCCAGTAATGTTAATTATATAAAGGTATTAAAAAAAAAAGATATTCACAAATTGACTCGTTCATGTTATTTAATGAAATTAAAAAAGCGCTTTTAGTTACATTGCGCTATCAATAAAAATACCAAAACGACAAAATATATATACGCATATATATATTTTGTATTTAAAAAATAAATTAAAAGAGCGCAACATATAAGAGAGCGATATTACATTATATGGATTATATTACAACATTACGTTTTTCTTTTTTATGCACAGATACTTACATTTAGATAAATCATTGAAATTTGAATTACGGCATATTAACGGACATAAATGATCTTTTCATCGTTAATCTCATAATTTTCTTTCTATAATTTTTGTACTTATTGCCAATTCTATCATGTCTATCGCTATCACCAGTTGTAAGTCTTCTATGTAAATACACAAGATTGAGACGTATGGAAATACCTCATCGACATCTAAATCAAAAACTTGTTTATCATTCTAATCATTATTCTAATTATTATGTACATTTATTTTTTTTTCTTTCGATTTATTCAACAAATCAACTGTTCATATTTACGTAATAATAAAAATGAAATTAAAAAAAGAATACTATTTATTTTTTCAATAATACCACCTAGAGCCTTTAGTAACGCATATCACAGTTTCAGATTGATGTTTTTCGTAACACTGTTTCTTTTGTTTCCGTGACCATGGACTTGATAAAAAAAACGACTTTAACTATCTTAATACAACTCTTTAAAGGATTGATGCAATACCATTTGAAAAACTTGCTAATCAAATAATGTCTAACTTTAAAACAAGTTAGGTATATAGTAACCATCTTATTACTATTAAAATATATACGTTTCGAAATTAATTTGAGAACTGTTCACTGAGCGTAATCAATTTTCATTCTTGGAAAATGTATATCTATTATGTGTTGTGTAAATATATATATATATATATATATCACGACTATTAATATATATATTATTCAAAATAATATGATGAGAGAATAACATCATATCTTTTCATTTTGTGTTTCGCAAATATCTGAATATAATTATGCATAAACATTATGCAATATCATCTTTCTCTTAATGGAATAAAAACATTTTCTTTCGCTATTTGGCCATTTGCTGTACAATTAAGTAGAACTGCATATTCCAAATTTGTTCTTTATCGTCTTATTGGAATGCAACGTTTTCTAAATACCAAATCAATGAACTGTTTAGTAAAACAACAATTTGTGATTTCATACGCACTATAAATATGTTTCTATAAGCATTCGCATAACTGAAATTATTGTATTTTCGATTATGAAATACTTCATATTAATATCTTTAGCATTTATCAAATTAATTCAAATTTTTTTTTATTTAGCTTGATCTAATAAAAGAGAAGCCGCTCTTTCTACATCATAATCAGTCTGCTTAAGAGCATTTTCACATTGTTGTCTATCTGCCAAACCTAGCCTGTAACAATAAAATAACAATGTTAATAATAGAAATTGCAGTCAGTATCTTAATTTGTTTATGATTTGTAATATATATAATGTGTGAATATGATATAAAAATTAACCTTTTAAGAGATTCTATTTTAACTAGTCTGTCTTTCATAATTTGTTTAGCCGCTTGTGCAGTATCCCATCCTGTAGCTTGTAATGCAGCTAAAATTTCTTGTTGTGAAGCATTTTCGATATCTCTTTGTACTCTCATTACCTTAGTTGCACGAAATTCATCATTGAGAGACATAACTAATTGCTGCGAAGCACCTGTCAAAGGCGGACTAACGCCAGATGGATATGCTGACGTGGAAGGTGCTAATTGAGTATTAATAACAGTTTCATTCATGTGAGATTGTACATTACGGATTGGTAATGTCTGTGACGTTGCAGCATTAACTTGATGTGGCTTAGTATGTACAGATTGCAATACATTTGGATTTCCACCCTGATTAGCTGTTAAATTTGATTTCATTACAGCATTTTGATTTCTTATAAAACCATTTTGCACCGATTTAAGCGGACTCCATGCCGGAGGTGGATTATATACAGGTGGTTGCTTTAAATGTGGACTAAAATCACAAGGATGGCTTTGAAGTGTATTTCGAGATCCTTGGGCAGCTTGAATTTGTTGTTGTTGTTGTTGAACATTATAGCTAGCTGTATCTTGATAATTTATATGACTATGACTTAGATTTTGATCCACAATAGTATTTGTTGGAGTCGCACCGGAAGCATAATAATTTCTGAGTATATTTTGTTGAACAGTCTTATTATAAAGGGTATTAAATTCATTTTGGGACAATTGTTCTAAATTAGGTACTGTCTGTTTCAATTCAACATATACTTGTTCGGAAAACATTGTACCAGTGGTAAACATAGCAGGCTTTGAAATGGTATTAGTATTGCTGGCACTAGATTGTGGCTGTTGTAGATCATTTTGTATTTGAGTTATTCCATGATTACGACTTATAGTTAAAAGGGGTATGTTTTGTTGTTGGAAATAATTCTGACTTGTGGATGTAAAATTTTGTGCATGAGTGGAAGTTGTTTCTGTGGCACTTTTCGAACCATACTGAGAACTATTCAAATTACTAGTAGCATGAATTAGATTGCTAGGCGCAACTTGAAGTAAATTTACATTTATTTGTGGCATATTTACTACCGGTGATATGCGATTAACATTTGGATCTGTTGATACGGAATAATTACTTTGCAGATGCACTTGAGAATGTGCTTGTTGCCACATTTGTCCTACAATGGCATCCGTAGTACTTTCCACAAAACGATGTTCTTGTTGTACTATTGGCTTTTGAATATTTGTATTTTTCGACTGCATTGAATTTTGCACTTTACTTGGTAGATGCGTGCTCGTTCTTTGATCCAATTGCGGAGATTTTGGTTTTATCGATTGCGGTGGTGGTCGCAGTGTCGGTATAGTTGAATTATCTTGTAACTTATTAATCAATGTATATGTATGTGATTCATTATTAGAATGTTGTTGAGTAGCGTTAGTATTTTTACTCGCTTCTTTCTCTCCCAGATGTTTCTCTAATTCAGCGAGAAACGCCGAATCCAACTTCTTAGGCGAAGCAACATTGTGCGAAGTTATATTTAATTCGCTTAAATTTTGGGCAAGATCATGATTAGATTTAGGTTTAGGTGGACTTTCATTGGGACCTATAGGAGGTGGAGGAGGTGGCAATGGCGGTGGCGGTGGTGGTGATGGTGATGGTTGTCCATTGGAAGTTGTAGGCAAATTATGACTTATAACATTGGCATAAGTTTGTGCATCATTTTGCAAGTCTTCTGGCCAACTCGTCCAACTGGATACAGACGGATTTTGAAGTTTATCAATTTCACTATAATGATCTTCTACGAAAGCATTGGCTTCTGCACTAACATTAACATTAACATTTAAATTAACACTTTCATTTATACTATTCTTACTTAAATTCGTAGAGTATTGATTAACATTTATATTTTGACTACTACTACTGCTACTTTCTTCATTCTGAATATTTCCATATGATTGAGTTTTATTATAGTGATTAGTCAAATCAGATGGTACATGACTATAATATCGAGAATGGGGTGGTTTCATAAATACTGAAGAAGTATCAAATGGATCAGAATAAGTTGGATCTAGATTACCCGGGAAATTGGCATATGTTCTAGGATCCTCTTGTTGATTAGGTTCTTCTTGCGTTATTGTTTCGACCGTTTCGATAGGTTCGTCTAGTATGTTAATGACACGCCGACACGTTGTATCGGATTGAGGTGAATTTGTATTATTTATTTCCTCTGGTGATAAATCTATTAGACTACCCTCTTGACTGGTACCAGGTACAGGAACACTTGATTTCACAGGACTAGCCCTTATATCGTTTTGTAATTTTGTGTAATTAAATTGTTTACGCGAACGAGGCGTGCCACAGGAAAACTTTTTCTTTTGATTATCCGTAATTCCAGCTACAGCAACAATATCTGGGGGTTCCATTGGATTTCGAAGATAAACATCATCTATATAAATAGGACTACCCCAACTTTTTCCAAAAGGAGCACCATGTCCTGTATGTATAAAAGAATTTTCTAAAGGTTTACTTATATCTTCTGGTTGCTTTTTTCTCATTGGATCAACTAAACAACGGGGAAATAGGCCAACTTGATAAGTTCTTTGATTTTGTCCTTTCCACCAATAATTTTCTGGTCTACCATCGATAATAACGATTTGATCACTTTGCTCTATATTCATTTTGTCAGCTTCGTCGAAATCACTTAAAGCTTTCATTACCGACGGTACCATTCCAGTTAATGATTCTTTCAATGAAGCAAAGCTAGGTCTTTCCGAAGGTTCTCTAGCCCAACAACGTAACATCAAATCATACATTACAGGTGGCATAGCTTCTGGTTCATGCAACCTTTCTCCTTCTCTATCAATTTTTCGAAGAATTTCTGATCCATTTAATCCAACCCATGGTTCTTCTCCGAAAGTTAACATTTCCCATAATGTAACACCAAACATCCATACATCCGAAGCGTGAGTAAATAAACGTGCTTTTAGAGATTCTGGAGCACACCACGGAAACGGCACTTTCTTATGTTCTGTCATAACATAACAATCCTCTTGCTGAGGCAGTGCTTTCATTAAACCAAAATCACCTATCTTCACTTTATCTACTGTACTTAAAAGAACATTCCTACAAGCTAGATCCCTGTGAAGGAAACGTTTGGCCTCCAAATATGCCATACCAGTTGCTACTTGCAAAGCATAATTACACAAAGCTAAAACTGATATACGGCCACATTGCTTTCGTAAATAATCCAAGAGAGCTCCTAAAGGTGCAAGTTCCGTTACCATCATCATAGGCTGCGACAATACCACTCCATATAGCCTGAAATACAATATAGTATTAGATTGAAGTAATTATGATTTTCTTTGCTAAACAAAAATAAAAATAAAATCACCTAATAAGATTGTGATGATTCAAAGTATGCATCGCTTGAACTTCAGATACAAAATCTTCTATAATACGTGGTTGAGTTAAAGCATCCGCCTTTAAAACTTTCACTGCAACTGGTAATGTTCGACCTGAAGGAGATACCCATTCTCCTCGTCTGACCACACCAAAACTACCATCACCTAATTTAATAGAAAGAGTCACATCTTTGTCTTGAATAAGACACGTAAGCACGGAAGATTCTTCAATAGGCTGCGAAGATCGTTTATTGCTCTTTGTACTACTGCCAGGCCTAATTTTAGTAATTAAATTCTTTTTCCATTGAGTGTTACGTCTTTTTTTAACGGCATCTAAAAGTCTTCTAATTCCTGGCTTTCCCAATCCGATCTTTTCTAAATCCTCTGGTTGCACATAATCAAAATGGTGCAATCGAGTGACCTGCAAATCGTCTCTAATTCTTGTAAAGAACTGGGTAAGTTGTACATCGTGCAGAAGTTCTTGCAACCATTCGGTTCCTTCGTCGTCTGCCATTTTCACTGGTTCGCAATACCCTACACAAATAAAGAATTAAGTTTCATTTACAACTAACTTTCTCGAAACTACAAACTGAACGAAATTATGAACTAAAAAAACACACAAACGATTGTTAATTAACGATAATCGTAAAATAATAACATAAATAAGATAAATTTCTTTTTCTCACAAGTAACACGAATTTCTTTCTTTCACAAATAAGACGTAATAATAACTTTCCTTATCGTTTGAAACATTGCACTCTGAGAGATAAAAGATTATCCATCGTTACTTGGAGAAAACAATTTTAAAAAGCAAGGGGAAAAAAAATAAGAAAAAATGTAAAGGGACAAACAAAAAGGAAACGATAGAAAGAGAAATATATAAAATATATATATATACATATAGGACAAATCGGAGAACGAAGAAACGTATCGCAAATAATGTTTGCCATTATTTTCTCATTCGTCCTCCCCACACACACACTCTTCTAACAGGAAATCAAATGAAGCTTAATAGAATGCTTCAGAGAGTGAGATAGAAAGAGAAAGAATGCACACAATGACATGGGTACTTATCAATTCCAGACATTACATTGTACATACAAAAAAGGATCACTAACTACATGACCAAGAACGACGATTTACAATATCACGTTTCAAATATCTATGTATATACGTATGGTTAGTACACACACATATATATATACTAGAGATAGACTCATGTTAATTTGTATATTCCCATTGTGATAAAAATCTTTAATCTTGCATGCATCTTTTTATATCAAGATATGTATTAATATGTATATTTTCGAAGGATAACAAAATGACGTGAACAATGATGCCAATGAAATGATCAGTAGGCGTTGTTCCGTTTATAAACATTTCACATTCCTCCTTACCGATTCGATCCTGCTGCACTATTATGACTAATTCACATGCACCCATACACACAATCTATACAAATTTTACTGATCAAATCGAACCTCCTTAAAAAATATAAGCGCATATATATATATATATACATAATTTGTAAATAATTATTATGCGCATATATACATAATTTGTAAATAATTATTATGTACATTCACGCGTGCACGCACACACAGATTTATTACTGATCAAAATTCAAACATTTCCCAAAAAAGTTTATCTATATATATATACATGTCATGTATTATATTTATGTGCATACATACATATATATATATATATATATATATATACATACATATATACATAGATATATTATTATACGGATATGCATACACCGATAAATAATTACTCACCAAAATATATTTTTTCTGATCACTATCAAGGACAAGAATAATAAGGATTGTGCATTATCCTCTTTCACGCGCGTTCCACACTATTTCCGTCTCTTTCTTTCTTTGTCATTTCAAAGGATGATCGATGATGGCTTCGAGGATGCGTTCGTTTCTCTGGTCATTTTCCGCCCGGATATCGATAACGCACGTACAAAATCATCCCTTGATTTTCTTTATTACATATCCATCCATACATATCTACGTAGACGCGAATGCATATATGCGATAGGAACGTAACCGCAGGAGAGCCTCTCTCTCTCTCTCTTTCTATCTTAATATAAACTTTTCTTAGAATAAGTTTCTTCAAGCGTCAACTCGTGACAGGTTCGCAAATGTGTCGATAGGGAGCAGGAAAAGCGAGACTAAATTTTTCGATTCGATCCAAGCTAACACGAAACTTTCACCGTACGAATTTCTCGCCCATTGCATTGTTACATACACGCGTATAAACACACACGCAAAATTTATTCGTATATATGGTATATATATATATGTATGTATAGGACTCGTCTTTTTAACCTCAAAACATGTTTCCTCGACTCGACGAAAGAGAGGAGAAAAAAAAAGAATAAAGTATTACACGTAAAAATAACTCCTATGCGTTGTATACGTTGTCAACTAAGAAAATTTCATACTCGAGTTGTTATAGTTTGCTATGCGACTAGGAAATAATAATAATCATTATTATCATCATCATTGTCGTCATCGTACGCTCTTTAATTGTGTGCACCAATCTCAGCATGCCAGGGACACACAGAAATATATATATATATATATAGAGAGAGAGGGAAAGAGAATAAAAAAAAATTCTAACGAGAGAATGTATATATGTAGCTATCTTCAAGTGCAATCTTAAAGCATGCATTGTGAAGTTAGCTGCTAGGGAAGAAACTCGAAGTGTCGTTCGTAAAATCGATGAGCTCGCGTGTTCCGAAAATATTCGAATTGAACTATTTATCTTACGTTAGATTTTCTTTAAATATTTATCTTTTTTTATGATTCTTGAAATTTTTATTTAAATTTATTTTGTCTTGTCAAGAGATTTACTTTTCTAAATTAGAAATTAAGCTTGCTGTTGCAGCCGAACGTATTTTAGTTGGATAATACACGAGCAATACGAATCATACTTGATAGAGTATTCTTTTTTTTTTATACGATTACAAACCTTTTTACATATATATATGTATTTATGTATGCGTGATATTTATTATTCAGTTAAATATTCTATCATAGAAATGCAATTTGTTTTGCAGTAATTTATTAGAATGTTCTATTGTTACTTTTTATTTTTTAAATTATATAACGTCTAGCTAATTAAAAATCGCGCGTGTTAACATAACTATATAGGATATTCGTCTTCCGGTTTTATGTAGATTATTATTATTATTTTTTTTCTTTCTTTATACTTTCTCACATAAACGCAGAGGTGTATAAACTTCCGTAATATTATATTTCAACGAACGATAATATACTACACAACCGAGAAATAATCAAAATGCTTTATCGATGTATGCTAGATGATAGAGAAAAAAAAGAAATAAAAAAGACTGCCATGGAAATACATTTGTACATTGTACATTCTATATTAAATATTTTTTTTTTTTTTTTTTTTTTTTTTTT